TTCCTTCCTTCCTTCCTTCCTTCCTTCCTTCCTTCCTTCCTTCCTTCTTCATTTGCTGTGGGGATATTTTAAACTTACAATCAATAAGTTGGGCTGAGAGAGAGAGAGAAATCCCTTTTATGCTTTCCTCTTCCTGGTCCTAAGAATTAAGGCCCACAGACTAGAGAGAGCACAATAGGTTTTTTGAGGGGGGCCCAACAATCATGGTTCACCATTTCCCACCAAATACCTGAAGGACTTTGACAGGAGCATGGTCAGATCTCAGTTCCTGTCACCTCATAGTTTTGTCTCCTAGGCCCTTTTGCACCAACACACCAGCTTTTGGTGAGGAAGGGTTGTGCAGGGACACGATCCCATTTCCTCAGCTTTGGCACGTCTCAGTTGACTTCGATCCCTCAGCCCATGAGATCCTCTGCCTTGAAGTCCTGCTCTCCTTAGCAGAAGGAGGACGTGCTGCTGCTGCTGGTGCTACTCCTAAAGCAGAGGGGCAAAGAGGGTGGTGGGCTGAGGGGACATGGGGCCCACCAGCTTCCATTTCGTGGCCTCTGGAGCAGCAGTGGGATCGCTTTCCACACGCCAGCTGAGAGCAGTGGTGGGATTCAAAAACGTTTACCACCACTTCGGTGGGTGTGGCTTGGTGGGTGTGTGCGCATGCGCCAAACACACACTTTGCACAGGCGCAGAGGCGTTTGTGCAGGCGCCAGAGGCGTTCCAACTCACCTCCTGCAAGCCTGCACGATCCCGGTCGCTTCAGCAGCTGCCGCGCAGAGCAGCTGGGCTTCAAATTCAGGGGGTAAAGGGGAGTATGGGAGCCCAACAGCAAAGCAGTGGAGAGAACTGATTCGGCCTCCGCTGCTCATCGGCGCTACCGGCTCAGGAGAACTGGGCCGAACCGGTAGAATCCCACCACTGGGCAGGATTGGCCCTCCCAATCCTGCGCTTTTCTCTTCTTTCTCCTCTCAGCTGATCGTCGGAGGCTTATTTTTCCTCCTCTCAGCTGATCGTCGGAGGCTTATTTTTCCTCCTCT